GCTATATTTGAAATAATTTCATAAATCTTTTGGAATTTGATTGAAATTTTATGCTTAATTCATCTAGAAGGTGGTAAAACACTACCAAAAATAATAAACACATAAGTTTAACCTTAACCATCTTCTAATAGAATTTACATCCTTTCCTAATTAAATTAATAGCAAATTTGCAAAGGAATTCCACAAGTATTTTTGTGTTTGTTAATTTGGGAAAATTGTCTAACAATATCATAGAAGTGAAATATTCATTAATGTCCAGAATCTTACAAGCGATGCATTGAGAAGCGCAACCTCTGGCTCTAGGGTCCCAGCTTGAATAGAATCAAGGAGTTCCCTGCACAATAATGGAAACGCTAGGAATTTCCATCTGTAAAAGCTACAACTTCACCAAACTAAGAAAAGTATCCACCGGAGCCTTGTAGTTCACTTGTCACCATGCTCTCTTTGCAGAGATTGCGATTGCTAATGTGCGTTCAGTGCCGCCAAAATGCAATTACATGCCTCTATGAAAGCTAAAGCAAAAATGACGACTTCCAACTTATTATCATGAAAATAATGCAGTTCATACAAAAAGCCTCCATCAATGCCAGAAATTCTTAAGCAAATATAATTTCAATTAAGTAAAGAAAACAATCCACAAGAGCCCTTCTAGCTCACACGGCATGGTGGTTTCTTCGCAGATCTTGTTAATTGGGTTCAATCCTCCAAAATACATTTACATGGCTCTAGGAAGACGAGAATAAAAATGACCTCTGCCATCTAATCAGCGTGAACAGAAGGCAAGTTTGACAAGTAACTAGCATTTTGGCGTACAGTAAACTCAGTTACTCAACAATAGCTCCGTTTTTGGACTTCCATTTTCAATTTGCATAGAACTCCGTTTCCACTGAAAATATTTTTCTGAGTTTATAGACCTAATGCCGTTAGTTGATGACAACAAAGAGCAGAATTATCAATCACCAGTTCTTAAATGCTCCTCCTCCCTCCTTCCCAGCACACAGAAACTTTTACAGTCAATTGACGATACTACTCATCAACAGTCAACAATTGACTGGATTACGGGGAAGTTAGGCAACAGTCTTACAAAAAAGAAGAATCATAATAATAACAGTAAGAGACTATCTACTCCTGTTCTTACTTCATTTCGCTCTAAAACGCTATAATTATATATCATAACGATACTCAATTATCCTTCATGAATCTTTTTTTCTTCCAAATAACCAACGAGACAGAGAGAGAGAGAGATTACTTGGAGTTGGTGACGTCAGTAAAGAGGACAATAGTGAGAGTTTTTCCTTCTTCGATCTCGTAGACCTTCATGGCTGCTGCTGGTTCTTCTCCAACCGAACCCCCTCGTCGCTCCTGCTCCACCCAAAAAAAAGTGGCAGTAACTGCAGAAGTTAGGGTTTTGGAGATTTTGATTGTTTCACCTGAGACGAGACGAATTATCGTTCGAACCTGGTTCCTGCGGTTGCCACGTGGAAGGCAGGTCCGCGAACTTCCAACCCTCACTCACCGGGAACAAGGCGGTCAAAAAATAGAAAATTTTCAGAGTGTCGCGCCAGGTAGGGGTCGAATCGACGACATTCTGCTTAAGAAACAGACGCTCAATCCAACGAGCTACATCACAAGAAAATTATTTACAAAAATATTTCAAGGGCCATTTTTAAAAACAATATCTTCGCGCCAGGTAGGGGTCGAACCTACGACTTTCTGCTTAGGAAACAGACGCTCTATCCACTGAGCTACAGGCGCTTATTGATTGCCGATGTCATCACTACAAAATAAGTTCTTCAAACCCCACATCATGCCACAACAAAACGAGGGAAATACTACTAATTCAACTAGTTTGTAAATCAGCTACAATTTAAAATATCATATTTTATTATTTCTAACTAGTTGGGTAGATTATAAGAAATTAATGACAAAATCAACAAAACACACTTGTAAATATCGTATTTGAAAAATGTTTGAGGAACAGGTTTCGTAAAACTAACTCATTAGGTTAAATATTTAAATATTTACGTGACTTTTTTTTGTAAATTTACCATTATTTTATAGATTTTATTAAGTTATATTAATATTGTAAAATTGCTTAAATTATACTTTCGTATATTAATTCAATAAAAATATTTGTAAGTTGATAGAACCATAAAATTTATATAGTACAATTTTAACTAGAGTTTGAATGAATATTTTTTTACTATAGTTTCAATTAATCATATTTTACTCTATTTAAAAATTATACATGCAATTATAATAAGCTTCAAATAGAGTATCCATCTACAAAATTCTAATGGCAAGTGAATATGCCTCATAATGAAGAAAAAAAAAAGGATACTGGCGGTGAATAGAGAGAAGACAGCGTTCGTTCCTTCATTAGGTAACTCGGTCTCCCCTCCCTCCTTCATTCCTCCCTGGGAGGTTCAGGAGTAATGATCACATTACCACAATACAATATAGGACTTCCTCCAAGAGGACTTATTGGATTATAAGAGCTTCAGCTCTATATAATCTTCTTTTTCCCTCAGACCATAGAGATTATAGTAGGAGAAAAGGTCATCCCTCTATTTCATTCATGTGCAGGCTTAGGAATTGCCGGGATGATAAGAGTTAACTCTCCTAAAATACACTTTCAGTAATTTCGTATAATGACCTGCAGAAACATCATGTTTTGTAAATACTTCTCATAGATATTTATCATAAAAGATAACATAAAGCGAAGAAAGCAATGAGATTTATCAAAAGGAGGACGATGAAAAAAACCTAATTGCTTCAAGTTTGGAGGTTTAACATATTAAGATGGGTGTAACATTGCATGATAAAGTGATACTGATATGTCAGATCACATGTATTAAATTTTGTACCATTTTAAAATTTACATCACGTTTATCATATTTAAATAATATCAGTTAATAATAACGATGAATAAATTATTTGTCTCATTTTTTAAAAATTTTGAACTGCTTTCGTAAAAAAAAAAGTGTATAATAAAGTTTGAACGTTTTTAAATAGTACACAATAAATTTTGATATTTTAATCAATGTATATATTTATATATATATATGCAATTTTACATGTTCCTTTTTCTCAAACTAGGATCAAGATATCTTGATCTAACTTGTATACATCTTAACTAATTTATAATTTAGATCTAGTTAAAAATAGGTTAAAGTCAAAGACCAAGAATTTTAAAGAATTAGTTCTTAAATTTTTGATTTAGGATTCAAAATTAAATTATAATTAACAAATAAACATTATTACTAGTTGTGATTAGAGTATGATAATATTTAATTATATTATTAATCACATAGATATTAATATTGCATAGTTTTTAATTAAATTTATTTTATTACAATTTAACGAATAATTAATCAATTTTACCAATATATTATTTAAAGTGATTAAATAAATAAATTTATGACAAAAAAAAGAGCTTACCAATTACCATGAAATAAAAGAAGAATTGGCGAATCAAATGGACGGGAAAACAGGACTTGATTCAATTTTCATGTCCAGAACAACAGTTTCGCTCTAAAAACGGTAGTCAAGCTCGTCCATGGATTCTCAGTTGCTTTTCTACTTTCAAGCATAGCCCTTCTTTCAGGCCTTGACCAAACTTCGCTCGTTCTCTCTCTGAAACCAGAAGAACAAAACTCGCCATGAATGTACAGTTTCATCAGCTGAGCTTCCCTTTTAGCCATGTCTCTCTCTGTCTTCCTCCTATGGCTGGTTAGCATTCCTCTTCTTGTGCAATCTCAACCTGTTCCCAAAGGTAATAATATAAACCTCTCGTGTGTGTGTATAAAATATGATTGAATTAATTTCATCTGATTAAATTTTTGAAATAATCAAAATATTCAAACGATTGTTTAGATTAGACTGTATCGATGCAAATGTTGCTTGCTTGCGCTTATCATTGTGTTAATGTGATAAACTCGTTATTTTGAATTTACGAAAGGATTTTCGTTTTGTTTCGCAAAACAGGTTTCCTATTGAGCTGCGGATCACCGTCGGTTGTAACCTTAGGGAACCTGAAATATACACCAGATGAAGGTTTCGTATCCGTCGGAAACTCGGCCGCGGTCAAGACATCCGGCGTGCTCCCCATATTGTCCAACGTCCGGTACTTCCCCGACAAGGTGGCTCGAAAATACTGCTATAACTTCCCGGTGAGCAAGGGAACCAAGTACCTAGTACGGACTACCTACTACTATGGAGGTTTTGATGGAGGAAAAGAGCCGCCGGTGTTTGATCAGATCATAGGAGGAACGAAATGGAGCACTGTCAACACTACTACTGATTATGCAAATGGACTCAGCTCGTACTATGAGGTTATTGTGGCCGCGGCTGGGAAAATTCTGAGTGTTTGCCTTGCGAGAAATAGTCGTACGGTGTCCAGCCCTTTCATATCGGCGATTGAGGTGCAGTTTCTTGATGACTACGTGTATAATAGCACGGATTTTGAGAATTATGCGCTCAGTGTTGTGGCTAGAAGTACATTTGGAAGTGACGAAGACTTGATTAGGTAAGGAAATTAACATGTTATACTGATATTTCACTTTTCCTTATGTGAAGATGACCTAAAAATATCATATAATTTTCAGTGTTTCAAATTAGGATTGCTTTTAGGTAAATTTTTTTAGGTCATGCACTTTTTAAACGTTTCAGATTAGTACCTCAGAAGAGTTACTTGAATAAGGGGATCAGGACACTTGTTCTTCAGATGAAGTCTACTTTCTCTGGCTTGAAAAGCCTGAACAGGGGATATTCTTTGAGAGAAAATGAAGGAAACTCTGGAAATTAACAGGAACATTACATGATTCATAAGCATGTTTATCTGGAACAAGAAGATAAGAAGTATTTGCATAGTTAATAAAAGCAGTATAGTTTGATATTTGACATTTCAATAGCAATCTCTTTTTCTTGCCAATTTGTTGAAATGCAGCTTAATTTCATCCACAACAAATCACTAAAAACCTTGTCACTTGGGGAGTGGATGAGCAAAATGAGCTTGGACATAGAGGTTAGTTTTTGACATCTTAGCACGGGCACGATCAGTTAAATCTCAGTTTCTTATAGTGAGCTCGAATTTCATCTCTACCATGGACATATCATGCTCATGAATCACATATGCTTTATGTCGATGATTTCCTGTTTGATTTTTTGGCTAATCTATCTCTCTCACCAAAATTTACCCAAAATATGGGTGAGAAAATTTTCTGATGGTGAATAATGAAAATATTTAACCTAGCTATCCAGATGATCCATACAATCGGTTCTGGCAGCCATTCAGGGACCAAAACCCAGTTGTGGAAAACAAGTCCTCTGTAAACCCTTCAGATTTCTGGAATGTACCTCCAGTGAAGGCATTTGCATCAGGAATCACCACAAGTCGTGGCAAGAAACTAGAAGTAAAGTGGCCGCTGGTGTCCCTTCCAAGTACCAAGTACTACATTTCCCTCTATTTCCAGGACAATCGCAGCCCAAGCCCTTTTAGCTGGAGAGTCTTCAGTGTTTCTGTTAATGGCATGAATTTTTATACTGATCTTAACGTCACCCACAAGGGGATCATGGTTTATTCAGCAAAATGGCCCCTATCTGGGCAGACAGTGATCACCATGACTCCAAATAGTAACTCGCCTGTTGGCCCTTTGATCAATGCTGCTGAAATTTTGCAGATTTTCCCTCTTGGTGGGAGGACTAATACTAGAGATGGTAACCCACAACAACTCTTCTATCATTCAATTTTAACCATCAGACTTTGTATTGCTTGCTTTTTTCAGTCTTCTATCTGTTTTGATATTTATCATAGTGATGGCAATGGAGGATTTAGCAAGAAAAATAGATCACCTGCCATCTGATTGGAGTGGTGATCCATGCCTTCCTACTGAGAACTCATGGACTGGAGTTACATGTTCTAAAGATAAATTGGCTAGAGTTGTCTCTCTGTAAGTTTGCTCGAGTAACCCTTAAAATGAACGTCTAAAACATTATATATATATTAATATTGTGGCTTCTTTTATTTATCTCAATAAATGAAGGGATCTGACAAACCTGGGGCTTACTGGCGCTCTACCTCCAAGCATAAACAACTTGAGTGCACTCACACATCTGTATGTTTTCGAAGGCTTTGTTGATTATATTGTCACCTTATTTGCACAGTGATGGCTTATATATGGGCTCTTGTGTTTGCAGCTGGGTAGGAGGGAACAGACTGTCTGGTCCTCTCCCAGACATGAGCTCATTGAAGAAACTACGAACTCTGTATGTTTCAGGATAACATCTTGATTTTTGTTTCACCTATATTAATCTTTGTACAATTTCATGGGTCAAGGCCTTATGGTGTTCTAGTTTTACACTCAATCTGATATAGGCATTTGGAGAACAATCAGTTCACAGAATCTATACCCGCATCACTAACCCAACTTCCAGAGCTACATGAGTTGTAAGTTCTTTGCCATTGAGGATAATTAGCTACTTTATGTTTGAATGAAATAAATTCAACATTTTTTCTGGCATCCTAAGTTTTTAGGACAATCCATCAACTACTCTATTCTTTCACAGAAATTGAATCCTCTAGCAGGTTTACATTCACTCTTTCAAAGAAATAAGATGAGTGCAATGCTTTGATGGACAGGTTCCTCCAAAATAACAAACTTGAGGGCCAAGTCCCTACTGCACTACAACAAAAAAGCGGCTTGAAAATTAAGTAAGAAATATCCTTTCTCGCATTTTCTGTTTTGAGTAACTTCTTATAATAAGACCTTCAAAAGTGCGTTGGTAGAAGCTTTTTTTTCCCTAAACAACTCAGATGTAGGCTGCCTCAGAAGCAATTGTCCGGTGTTAAAAGAGGCTTAGAGTTATAGTATCTATTCTTTTACTTGTAGATTTGTAAATAATTGTAACCATGATTTATCTATATAGACCTACTATGCTTTATCTTACTTTTGTAGGGTCTCTCCTGAGAATTCAGCCTCAGCATGGTAAAAGATGGAAGGGAGTAAAGGCAAGTTTATTTTTTGTCTCAAAATAGAAAGGAAATATAAGATTTGAGATTGCTGCTAATGAAAATGGAACAAAGAAAAGCAACTAAATTATATGCTAAAATCACTTCTGTGTGTAAAGAAATTGGGAAGTTTTGGTCTTGCAATGATTAACCAAACAAGTACAAAGATGGAGCCTAGTTAGCTTTTCTTCTGGGATTAGTCTATAGAGAGGGAGAAAGGGGGGAAGAGGGAGAGTGAGATTCGGCTTTACTCTGTTGGCTTAATTTGGGAAGGTCTCTCATACATATATACATATATATATATATGTACATGTAAACAATGCAATGCTGGCTTAGCATGCAATTGTTTCATTAGCAAATTCATGGAGTGCAGAAAATAGTGTATTGCCATCACAGGGGGGCTTAAAGATATGCTATCCACACATACTTATATATGTAACTATACATCATTTCATTACATTTTATGCTAATTATGTATAGTTGCTATTGCTAACAAAGAATCCTTGCGAGGGTGCTACAGAAGACATAATTGTGAAACTTGTATACTACTCTCTTTAAACGATCTCAACTATATTCATGGATATTGCATCCGAGAGCTGCAAAAAGATTTTTCATTCCTTGTAAAATTATATCATTTTTGACAATATATTTTATTTATTTTATCAAAAATAAAAGTAGAATATATTTATATCTTTTATACTAAATAAGAGTCGAACTTCTAATTTATTAGAAGTGAAAAAATACCATTTAACTGTAATAAATTTTTAAATATTTTGAGTATTTCAAAATGTGTTTTATATAAATGATAATATACAAAATATATAAATTTAATTATACATAATGAAAACTTATTAATTTAATATTCATTTTGTGTAACTTATTTAATATGCTTATTATAAATAATTTGTATACATGAACATAATTAGGTTACATAATAATACTAGGCATAAAAAGAAACTTATCGAAAAAAAAAAAGTTATAATATGTCTACTAACTAAGTTATACTAATTAATAAAATTTAATTCAATAATTATTTCTATTTTTTTCATATTGCAGAGTCAATTTCGATTTTTGAAATTCATAGATTCTCAAAATTTCTTTATAAAAAATAAATTGTTAAACTTTTTCTGTGTAAAAATTTGAAATATCTCAGTAATGGTTTAGTTTCCTCGTATAAAAAACGTTGGAATATCCACTACATATCCAGCAAATGATCTTCTTGGGATTTAGGAGTCGTCTCTCTCTCTCTCTCGCCTCCTAACTCCTTGCAAAGACCATCCGCTATTCAGAGGTCGATACAGACACTGGCAAGTTTCAGCTAATGTTCCCAGCAAACCCTACCTCCCTCTTCTTCCCTTCCAACCCCTCTCCCCTCTTGCCTCTCCAACTCCCTTCCTCCCTCCGCTGCCGCGCCTCTGACGTCCCCGTCGGCCCCACTTTTCCTCGCTGGCTCCACTTCTCCGCCTCCGCCGCCGACATTCCCGGCCTCCGATTAGGACAGGACTCCGACGGGTCTGTCTCCGTCGGTCCCTCGTCTCCCGACGTCGCGAGGCGTGGTGTCACATCTGGCAACAATGGCGGCAGAGTCAAAGTGAATGCGAGAGAGCCGAAATGGTCGAGGGATAGGGAGAGTTATCTGACGGACAATGGGGACGCTCTCCCTCTCCCCATGACTTACCCTAATTCGTCTCCTGTCTCCCCCGACGAAATTGAGCGGCGATTGCAATGCGACCCGCAAGTTGAGGTCTCAGTTCTTTTATGCTTCGTACGTGTTTGACGTGTTTCATGTTCTTTTAGTGTCTCGTTTGGTATTGATTTATTTGCGCAATTGCAGGATTGTAAAGAAGTGGTGTATGAATGGACTGGAAAGTGTAGAAGTTGCCAAGGGTCTGGATTTGTCAGCTATTACAACAAAAGGGGAAAAGAGATTACCTGCAAATGTATACCTTGCCTTGGAATTGGTACTTATGCTTCTTCTGCCGCTGTATCTGTGCGAAAGTTATCAAGTTAAAAAAAATTATATATAAAGAAGAAATACACATTGCTACTCACATTGAATTGTTAATTTGCTCATTTTAGCATGCAATATGTCGTCCAATTCTTATTGATAGCTAAGGAGATGTTGTCATCTGATTTTTGCAACTTATGATTAGTTTCCCATCTTTCTCAGAAAAAAAAAGGATTTAAAGCATATACATTTTAATAAGGTAGAAGGATATAATCTACATCATACATTGGCTTGTGTTTACAACTTTCTACATGTTCTTTTGCTCCAGAGAACACCTGTCTGAATGTTTGCAACAGTTACTGAAAACGTGTAAGAAATAACACGGCTATTGTGATGCCTTCTTCTTGTGCCTTTGATCATTAATCGACAAGCATCTTCTTTTGTCTCATAATACTTGCAAATTCATGTGGTATTTAACTTGGCAAGATTAAATGTAAAATATGTTTCTTACTTCAAAAAAATGTAAAATATGTTTCTATACCGTTTCACTCCTCTTTGTAGTTCGTAATACTTCCACTAACTTTTCATGCGCAGTTATGGCATAGTAACCTTAAAATATGGCCATACTTAGATTGCTTAACCTTCACTAAGAAAACCGAAAATATGTATACATGTGAGCAATTGCTGCAAACATGCTATGTAGTTCATGGCATGCATCTGCATGTGCGATCTAGTAAGGTGGAAAGAATGAATATTTAGAAGTTTATACATGATGTATTACAGAGGCTTGTTCTTTCAACAAAAACGTGTTACTTGAATTTTTATGCCATGGAATACTGGAGGTTTTCAACATCATGATTTTTCTCTATCCTTTCTGCAATAGGTTCTTTATTCTTATCTAGGGTTTTATATTAGTTAACTTCAGTTAACAAATTTTCTTCTGGATTTTGCGGAGGACATCAGAATTCATTTTCAGTTTTTAGCAACTCTTATACTTGTACACTGGATATGGATCTGACGGCTTCCTAAAGAATTAAAATCGATCAATATTTAATATTCAAAAAGATCAAATCAATGAACATTGGAGTGAAAAACTAATTTGGATTGATATCAAGTATGTTTCTTCTTCGGAAATATTCCTTTGCAAGGATCCGGTGCTCTCTTTTGATTCTGTTGAAGATTAGGACTCGTGTAAGAAAAATTTGATGGACAGTTGCGTTGTGAAGTTAGGAATAGGGTTTTCCAGAAGGATCCGGGATTTTGATTATTATTCTTTATTATCTTAATCTAAGCTTTATTTATTTTATTTCTTTGCAAAAACTGTGTAGTTTACAGGCTTGTTGATTTTGATATTTTCTAGAAGTTTATAGTGTGCGTGTGCCTTCTTGCAACTGAACCTATGACTACAGACAATATTACTGGACATGGTATTTCAAGCTTATTTGCTTTGTTGAAAAAAATTACATAATTATGTGGAAGTTCCTTTTTTCTTTTTATATTTTGTTTTTTCTCCATTTTTCTTGCTGCCTTCTGTGATTTTCAGTATTAGCAAACTGGAGAGAACACTCAATGTTGTGTCATTGCAGGATATGTGCAGAAGATAACAGCTCGCAAGGACATTGAGGTAATGGAGGATTTGGATAATGGAAAATCTTCTTGACCTAATATTCTTTTTCTTTTTGGCACTAACATAATGTATTCTACACCTCATTTAAAAAGCTGTAATTTTTTTAACAACCTTTCTTTAAAGTTTCCATGTCCATCACCCTTTATGCTGATATACGATGAAAGGCAAATCCTCAAAAAGGAGAGGTTATAGAACAGAAGCAAGGAATTTATTGTAACTTTTTGAAAGAATGTATTCTTTCGTATAATTCTTTAATCTTTACTGCAGCCCGATATTGTTCTTTGTTTATCTTATCAGCCAATTGAGAATCTTATTTGTGAAGCTACAAGTTGTTAAGGAATAAATTTGGAACCTTTGTTTGCTTTCTTTTGTTCCCCACCTTTTCCAATTTTTGGGATAGACCACACCCTTGAAGACCGTATAAAAGCC